TCGCTTTCTTGTGCTTCAGTATTATACTTTTATTTTTCGTTGTTCCCTTATCTTCTCTCAAATTTATAAAACCACTTTCTCTCTCCTGTGCTTAGGTATTTTCCCAATGGTTTATTCAGCCTCGGGTCACTAGAACACACCCTTTTTCCCCCTATCAGTATCCACGTTACTATTCTCTCAAATATTCCTACGTTTCCATTTTCGTAATCTAAATATCCCGTATCTAAATTCTTATACCTTCTTTTCCTGTCTTTCAGTATGTCCACATCATATGTTGTTATTTTTATATTTGCTGTCACTATGTATTCCACTATTATACATCCCCTTATCCTATACCTGAATGCGGCTGGTTCTCGTTCTAATCTTCGTCTTGACATTTATTCCCTAACTTTTCCTTTTTATCTATTTATATACTTGTTTACATACTTGTTTACAGATTTTAACACCCCTTCAAATTAGTGGATTACAGGTGCTGACAGGTGTATAAAATCGAGCACACAGCCATGCAATCTCCATAGACAAACATTGGCAGTAGAATGGCCTTACTGAAGAGCTCAGTGACTTTCAACGTGGTACCGTCATAGGATGCCACCTTTCCAATAAGTCAGTTTGTCAAATGTCTGCCCTGCTAGAGCTGCCCTGGTCTACTGTATGTGCTGCTATTGTGAAGTGGAAGCGTCTAGGAGCAACAACGGCTCAGCCGCCAAGTGGTAGGCCACACAAGCTCACAGAACGGGACTGCCGAGCGCTGAAGCGCGTTGCCCGTAAAAATCGTCTGTCCTCGGTTGCAACACTCACTACCGAGTTCCAAACTGGAAGCAATGTCAGCACAAGAACTGTTCGTCGGGAGCATCATGAAATGGGTTTCCATGGCCAAGCAGCCGCACACAAGCCTAAGATCACCATGCGAATGCCAAGTGTCGGCTGGAGAGGTGTAAACCTCGCCGCCATTGGACTCTGGAGCAGTGGAAACGCGTTCTCTGGAGTCATGAATCACGCTTCACCATCTGGCAGTCTGACGGACGAAACTGGGTTTGGCAGATGCCAGGAGAACGCCACCTGCCCCAATGCATAGTGCCAACTCTAAAGTTTGGTGGACAAGGAATAATGGTCTGGGGCTGTTTTTCATGGTTTGGGCTAGGCCCCTTAGTTCCAGTGAAGGGAAATGTTAATGCTACAGAATACAATGACATTCTAGAGGATTCTGGGCTTCCAACTTTGTGGCAACAGTTTGGGGAAGGCCCTTTACTGTTTCAGCATGACAATGCCCCCGTGCACAAAGCGAGGTCCATATAGAAATTGTTTGTTGGAGACATTCTTTGCAGAGTTATGTGGTCTCCATATGTCCCATGTAGTGCCTTTCCTTGTAAATATTAACTCCATGATCCCGCCACATACTCTGAGAGTAGCGTCCCGTCGACTGTGTATGGGTGATTTTATAAGAACAGAGACAATTTCATGTCTTAGCGATACTTCAGATCGAAAAACTGCATTACTAGCCTCGTATCATCATCCTGATCTTGCAAGCTTACATTCTGTTTCAATACACATATTCAGATGAAGTGAAACAAAACGAGAGCGCAGCGGTCAGGATGATGAATCAGGCTAATGTATTACACCCTGCTGTGAAAGCAACAAACTCACTATGTAGTGCACTACTTTTGGCCAGGACCCATAAGGCTCTGGTCAAAAGTAGTGCATTATATAGGATTAAGGTGCCATTTGGGACACAGCCCTACTCCTCCCTTTACAGAGGAGTGTTAGCTATTCTTGTCACAAAGTCAATTCGTAATATCCCCTCGGTTAACACATTGTCTCCTCTCATCTACTGTCTGAATGTATCAAACAGAGCAATAAGACACCTTGCTAAACAGACAGGGGATTGATGGTGCTCCAAATGCATACACAGGACATAGGCCCAATCTATCTACCTCCTCCAACCTTCCACCTGGCCATTACCCTTCAGACCAGTCCTTTCCCTAAACATCTCCTTATTTCCACTCCACAGGTATATTAGTATTCTCTCTGAGAGATCATGTTAGTCTGCAAACCTCTCCCCTGGCAGATTAATCGTTTCTCTCTGGACAGTACTGTAGCGAACGGCAGACGAGAGAAGCAAACCCGGGTCACTGGCGTGAAAGTCAAACACCCCACGCATCGAGCCAATGTTAACCCACTAGGTGGGAATTGTAACATGGCTCATATAGTGAGGATTTCTTCCCTTCCCTGCCGTTCGGAGGGGGCAGTGTAGTTACAATTCCCACCAAGTGGGTTAACCTTATTGGTGCGATGTGTAGGGTGTTTGCCTTTCACGCCATCAATCAATCAAATGTTATTTATAAAGCCATTTTTACATCAGCAGATGTAACCCAGCCTAAAACCCCAAACCCCAAACGGCATCAATCTGGGTTTGCTTCTTTACCCCACTGTTCGATTCAGTATGTACAGTATATTATGTTGTCTATCTTGAGCTGTGGCATTACCGCTAGACCAGCCAGATCACAATCTTGGTTTCAATGTTTCGTCATCAGTCACCATAGAAGCCTGATTAAAGGTAGCAAAGATCTTAAATCACACCAATTTAGCGTTTTCCTGCTGCTATTGGTGAGACTAGTTGTTAATTTAAATGGTACGTTTTAAGTACCCACCATAAATGTAAGCTTGAAGGTATTGTTCGTCTAATAGTGAGACATCATGATTTTTCTTCATCGTGGTGCACTTCCACATCCTCACATAAATGAGTGTATTACAAAGGGTTAAGGGTAGTCATGACAATGTTGCATCAGCTGTCTCTGCTCTATATATAGTAGGCATCCATCTTTGATGCATATGGAAAACAATGGGAACTAAATGCTAGTCATTATAATAATGTATTATTTATTAACATTAATTAACATGAATAAGTTCAACAGGAATGTACTATTAAAAGGAGAAAATGAATCTTCACACAAACTATCAAAAAGCAAAAAGCAGTCTAAAATGGATAACTGAAAAATATACTTAGAGAATACAGTACGTAAATCTGTGTGTTTACGTAATTCCTTCATATCTGAACGTTGTTTTAGAAAAAACGATGACTATCAAAATGATATACAGTGTGTATATACAGATTCAATCCTCTCTGATTTCAAATGGGATCAAGATCCTGACTGGACCATCAGAATCAGCAGTATCAGCACTTGCACAGAGACCAAGTTATTGTAGACTCCAGAGTTCTCCTCTCCGTGCCTTTGTTCCTCGCATCCTAAATTGGTAGGAAACACATTTTAAGAGTCATTCGAATGAAGGTGCATGAAAAAAACAACAAGACAGTGGTAGTTATAATGCACAATGACTGCTTCAAGGTCATCTTTTACAGAAAGGTTGTCAGTGGAAGTGAAGCTGTTGAATACACATGGGTATGCAGTAGGCAGCATAATTGGGCTCAAGATCTATCTGATTTCACAAGCATCTCAGTACGAGTGCTGATCTAGGATCAGCCCCCACTGTCCATAATCTGATTCATTATGCTCTAAATGGCAAAACTGATCCGAGGTCAGCACTCCTACGTAGTAAACTCTGAGACATGTTTTGAATATGGGCCCAGGGGAGCTCTGTCTTGATTGTGTCATGCTTGACTGCATTATTATGAGGAGCTTATAGCAATACAGCTGGGCAGTGTAGTGTACAGGCACCATAAGACTGCATGTGAATCAGACCTGGGTTAAAATACTATTTGAAATTATTATCAAAAGTTGTGCTTGATTGAGTTTGCCTGTTGCAATGGAGACAATTAGAAAAGTCCCAATAGTGCTAACCCCGCCCACCTGGCAGATTAAAGCAAACGCTCAAAGTATATTCAATAAGTAAGGGATAATCAACGAAGGGCTAAGCTCTGGAAAATAATGAACGACGTGGAAGGTGTGTTCCACGACGCGCTAGTGGAGTGGAACTGACCTTCCACGGAGTTGCATTATTTTCCAATTGACCCATAGAGCCCCGAGTTGATTAACCCTTTTATACCATAGCTATAATTTGTTCATTTGCAGGTAGAAATGTGTTCAACAGTAGCTAGCAAGTTTACTAGATAGCGACAGTAATTGCCTTGATAACCAAACAAACAGACTAGCTATTTTAGCTAACCAAACCATCAGTCATAGTTTGCCATTATGAAAATCGAATTCAACAATGCCAATAATGTTTTCAATTTGACTTTTGCTTTCTGTGTTCGTAAATTCACACCGATTTCAGAGCACTCTCATCTGAGTGTGCCAGAGTGCAGAATAACTGACACATTTTCGAACGCCCAACACCCATTGAATATGAATGACCGGTGTCAGTAAACGTTGGCAAAAGAAAAATGTAGTTAAATTGTTGCCAGCAGCACAGTTACAGTCAACAACGCTCTAGATAACTAGCTCTGCTAGGGCGAGTAAAATGGTCAGAGTGAGGTGTTCCCTCATTTGTGTCTGGAAGTAGCTAGCAAGCTAGCCAACTTTAGCCAGTTAGCTTGGGTGCTTGACTGCCATTGAGGACCTCTGACTGGTCAAAGGACTGGATAGGTATCAACCGTCTCACTTTCACCTATCAAGCTGTTTCAGATCAAGGGTCACTGGTAATGGAGTAAAGGAGAGCGAGTCCATTGGGCTCAATCCTGCATCCATCCTGTCCCCTAGCAGTATATTGTACACAAGCCTCTTGGTCTGTAAGGTCACTTTGTATTTAGATGTATATGATGTATGGTTTTAAATAAACATACAATACAGTACCCTCTATTATACCATTAATACTGACTGTTTCTTTACCCAAATCCTCACCTCCCAGCATCGAACGTGAACCAGGTTTGATGCCGACCGTAACGGCGAAGTGACCGCAGTGGCCAGGATTGGATTTTTAGACTAGGGTTCTGGATGTCCCACAGCCCAGAAAGTGTCACATGTGATCTGAAGAATACATTCTCCATTGAAATCCATACAATGTGATGGCTTCAGGAGTACATGGAACTTACATTTACATTTTAGTCATTTAGCAGACAACTTCTCTAGGAAAAGGGAACAGAATGCAATAATAAGCCAAATAAATATTTAAAAGGTGCAATCCAAGCTATTCACAGCCATTTTGGTAGTTGAAATGAATGAAATGTAACTTATGCAATTTATAGTTTAAAAATATGGTTAAATATCCATAGCTCCATCTATGAGTGTGAGAGTGCTTACTTTTTTAGAGCCCATCCCTCAGCTTTATATGAATCAAATGTATTTATAATGCCCTTTTTACATCAGCAGATGTCACAAAGTGCTATACAGAAACCCAGCCTAAAACCCCAAACAGCAAGCAATGCAGACGTAGAAGCACCGTAGCTAGGAAAAACTCCCTAGAAAGGCAGGAACCTAGGAAGAAACCTAGAGAGGAAACAGGCTCTGAGGGGTGGCCAGTCCTCTTCTGGCTGTGCCGGGTGGAGGTTATAAGAGTACATGGCCATTTAAAGCCAGATTGTTCTTCAAGATGTTCAAACGTTCATAGATGTCCAGCAGGGTCAAATAATAATCAGTGGTTGTAGAGGGTGCAACAGGTCAGTACCTCAGGAGTAAATGTCAAGTTGGCTTTTCATAGCCGAGCATTCAGAGGTCGAGACAGCAGGTGCGGTAGAGAGAGCGAGAGAGTCGAAAACAGCAGGTCCGGGACAAGGTAGCACGTCCAGTGAACAGGTCATGGTTCCCTAGCCGCAGGCAGAACAGTTCAAACGGGAGCAGCAGCACGACCAGGTGGAATGGGGACAGCCAGGAGTCATTAGGCCAGGTAGTCCTGAGGCATGATCCTAATATACAATTAAGTAGAGGCGCTTTCAGTTTGTTATATTTCGAATTAAGGATTTTGGCCTTTAAAGCATGTTTCTCATATTTTTTGCCCCATTTATTCAAAGCATTTGATCAGTATAGTAGCTTGTTGTATCATTACTGGACTATTATGCGAACGTGGTCTATACCCCTGTGCTCTCAATGTACACTACCAGTCAAAAGTTTGGACACACCTACTCAATCAAATTTTTTTTTTTTTTTTTTTTTTTACAATTCTTTAAATTGTAGAATAATAGTGAAGACATCAAAACTATGAAATAACACATATGGAATCATATTTGAGATTCTTCAAATAGCCACCCTTTGCCTTGATGACAGCTTTGCACACTCTTGGCATTCTCTCAACCAGCTTCATGAGGTAGTCACCTGGAATGCATATCAATTACAGGTGTGCCTTCTTAAAAGTTGATTTGTGGAATTTCTTTCCTTCTTAATGATTTTGAGCCAATCAGTTGTGTTGTGACAAGGTATACAGAAGATAGCCCTATTTGGTAAAAGACCAAGTCCATATTATGGCAAGAACAGCTCAAATAAGCAAAGAGAAACGACAGTCCATCATTACTTTAAGACATGAAGGTCAGTCAATACGGAAAATTTCAAGAACTTTGAAAGTTTCATCAAGTGCAGTCGCAAAAACCATCAAGCACTATGATGAAAATGGCTCTCATGAGGACCACCACAGGAATGGAAGACCCAGAGTTACCTCTGCTGCAGAGGATAAGTTCATTAGAGTTACCAGCCTCAGAAATTGCAGCCCAAATAACTCATCTCAACATCAACTGTTCAGAGGGGACTGTGTAAATCATGCATTCATGGTCAAATTGCTGCAAAGAAACCTCTATAAAGGACACCAATAAGAAGAAGAGACTTGCTTGGGCCAAGAAACATGAGCAATGGACATTAGACCTTATTTGATATTTTTGATCCAATCGCCATGTCTTTGTGAGACGCGGTGTGGGTGAACGGATGATCTCCGCATGTGTAGTTCCCACCGTAAAGCATGGAGGAGGAGGTGTTATGGTGTGGGGGTGCGTTGCTGGTGACACGGTCTGTGATTTATTTAGAATTCAAGGCACACTTAACCAGCATGGCTTCCACAGCATTCTGCAGCGATACGCCATCCCATCTGGTTTGGGCTTAGTGGGACTATCATTTGTTTTTCAACAGGACAATGACCCAACACACCTCCAGGCTGTGTAAGGGCTATTTTACCAAGAAGGAGAGTGATGGAGTGCTGATGACCTGGCCTCGACAATCCCCCGATCTCAACCCAATTGAGATGGTTTGGGATTAGTCGGACGGCAGAGTGAAGGAAAAGCAGCCAACAAGTGCTCAGCATATGTGGGAACTCCTTCAAGACTGTTGGAAAAGCATTCCAGGTGAAGCTGGTTGAGAGAATGCCAAGAGTGTGCAAAGCTGTCATCAAGGCAAAGGGTGGCTATTTGAATAATCTCAAATATGACATAGATTTGGATTTGTTTCACACCTTTTTGGTTACTAAACTCAGCAAAAAAAGAAACGTCCCATTTTCAGGACCCTGTCTTTCAAAAGACAATTAGTAAAAATCCAAATAACTTCACAGATCTTCATTGTAAAGGGTTTAAACACTGTTTCCCATGCTTGTAAAGATACCCAGGGTCCCTGCTCATCTGCGTGAACGTGCCTTAGGCATGCTGCAAGGAGGCATGAGGACTGCAGATGTGGCCAGGGCAATAAATTGCAATGTCCATACTGTGAGACGCCTAAGACAGCGCTACAGGGAGACAGGACGGACAGCTGATCATCCTTGCAGTGGCAGACAACGTGTAACAACACCTTCACAGGATCGGTACATCCGAACATCACCCCTGCGGGACATGTACAGGATGGCAACAACAACTGCCCCAGTTACACCAGGAACGCACAATCCCTCCATCAGTGCACAGACTGTCCGCAATAGGCTGAGAGAGGCTGGACTGAGGGCTTGTAGGCCTGTTGTAAGGCAGGTCCTCACCAGACATCACCGGCAACAACGTCGCCTATGGGCACAAACCCACCGTCGCTGGACCAGACAGGACTGGCAAAAAGTGCTCTTCACTGACGAGTCGTGGTTTTGTCTCACCAGGGGTGATGGTCAGATTCGCGTTTATCGTCGAAGGAATGAGCATTACACTGAGGCCTGTACTCTGGAGCGGGATCGATTTAGAGGTGGAGGGTCCGTCATGGTCTGGGGGAGGTGTGTCACAGCATCATCGGACTGAGCTTGTTGTCATTGCAGGCAATCTCAACGCTGTGCATTACAGGGAACACATCCTCCTCCCTCATGTGGTACCCTTCCTGCAGGCTCATCCTGACATGACCCTCCAGCATGACAATGCCACCAGCCATACTGCTCGTTCTGTGTGTGATTTCCTGCAAGACAGGAATGTCAGTGTTCTGCCATGGCCAGCGAAGAGCCCGGATCTCAATCCCATTGAGCACGTCTGGGACCTGTTGGATCGGAGGGTGAGGGAACTTGCAGGTGCCTTGGTGGAAGAGTGGGTTAACATCTCACAGCAAGAACTGGCAAATATGGTGCAGTCCATGAGGAGGAGATGCACTGCAGTACTTAATGCATCTGGTGGCCACACCAGATACTGACTGTTACTTTTGATTTTGACCCCCCCTTTGTTCAGGGACACATTATTCAATTTATGTTAGTCACATGTCTGTGGAACTTCTTCAGTTTATGTCTCAGTTGTTGAATCTTGTTATGTTCATACAAATATTGACACGTTAATATTGACAGTGAGAGGACGTTTCTTTTTTTGCTGAGTTTACATGATTCCATATGTGTTATTTCATAGTTTTGATGTCTTCACTATTACTCTACAATGTAGAAAATAGTAAAAATGCACCATTCCTTGGCTTCCAACTCAGTTAGGAGTTGTTGAAAGATACACTTTTAGAATGTGGTAGTTAAAGTCAAGTCAACTCAATTCAATATAATACATCTTTCAGTTAATGTGTCCCACACTCACCTGAATCACATGCAAAAGCCTTTGGTGAGTCATCGTTGAAAGTCAGAACCCCTGCATGCTTCTTTTTATCCCATGGTGGTCTAATAACATTTCTTATTTTTGTGAGGTCTATCACCTGAAAGTATAATAGGACAAATGGACAAAAGAAAGAAGGCAAATGTCCGCTCCCTGTTCGCTGCTCCCAAAGGTGATCTTTAATAATAAAGCCTTAGTGATACAATAACAACACTTCAACCAACACAGTCTTTGTCAGGATGTTGAAACATTGTTATTCAAAAGCTACGTCCAAGCTCACTTTGGGAGCAGCAAACAGGAAGCAAATGCTTACCCTCTTTATATATCTACATCTTTATACTTCGCGATAATTATATCTCTATCTTTTCTTGGCCATCCCCTCTGCTACGTTTGAGACAGCAATTAGTCTCCTGTCAACAAATGAATGAAAGAACCACCACTCAATTTCATTGATAAAATATAAAAGAAAAAAACAACAACAACCACAATTACAACAGAGGTTGTGAGCAGTTTAGCGGATTACTATTTAAACTATGGTACTACTCTGGTATTTGAGATTGGTTGCTTACTTTGTGGTAACAGTGGAAGTTGGCCACTTGTTCATTTGAGAACCGATCCGGTCCTTTACTGGAGGATTTACTGAGAACGAGCCAGCACCTTCGATAGATCTAGAGAATGATTAGAGTACAACTCTTCCAGTAAAGCCATACTTCATAACGTAACTGTATTACTTTCTTCTCCTTTATCTTCATGCAAGATAAACTCAATATTAAGTCGATATACACTGAGTGTACAAAACATTAGGAACACCTGCTCTTTCCATTAAATAGACTGACCAGATGAATCCAGGTGAAAGATATGATCCCTTACTGATGTCACTTGTCAAATCCACTTCAATCAGTGTATATGGGGGGCAGGTAGCTTAGTGGTTAAGAGCGTTGTGCCAGTAACCGAAAGGTCGCTGGTTCTAATCCCCAAGTCGACTAGGTGAAAAATCTGTCGATGTGCCCTTGAGCAAGGCACTTAACCCTAATTGCTCCTGTAAGTCGCTCTGGATAAGAGCGTCTGCTAAATGACTAAAATGTAAATGTAATATGAAGGGGAGCAGACAGGTTAAAGAAGGATTTTTAAGCCTCGAGACAATTGAAACATGGATTGTATATGTTTGCCTTTCAGAGGGTGAATTGGCACAACTAAAGATTTAAGTGCCTTTGAACGGGGTATGGTAGTAACTGCCAGGCGCACCGGTTTAAGTGTTTCAAGAACTGCTACGCTGCTGGGTTTTTCACGCTCAACAGTTTCCCATGTGTATGAAGAATGGTCCACCCCCCAAAGGACATCCAGCCAACTTGACACAATTGTGGGAAGCATTGGAGTCATCATGAGCCAGCATCACTGTGGAATGCTTTCGACACCTTGTAGAGTCCATGCCTCGACGAATTGAGGCTGTTCTGAGGGCAAAAGGGGGTGCAACTCAATATTAGGAAGGTGTTCCTAATGATTTGTACACTCAGTGTATATTCAGAGAGAAAGAAAGAGAGAGAGAGATTCTACAGCAGCAGACAAGTGCAGTGATAAAATGGTCAATATTATACTGTTGCAAAATACGCATAATAGTTGAAGTGTTCAGTCTGACAGTCCAACCCCATTAAATAATCAACATATTATCAGATCAAATCGACTACTCCCACTCAAAGGAGTGATCTACAGTACAGGCACAACAGGTGGATTCAGGACCATGGTCAGCGCATAAACTGGACACCAGCTTGGCACTGGATTAGAATATTATTGCACAAAGAAGCAAGGAAAAATTAGAAAGCCCTGTAAGTGTTTTCATTAAGCCCAAAAGTGCATACTTTTTGCCATATGAAAACAGCCACACACAATACAATGCAAACACTTTAGGCCTATATCTTGAACTGTACGGTGGGAATGAAATGAATAGCTCACTTTGAATGAGAAAACACTACTGTATACAGCGCATTCGGAAAGTATTCAGACCCCTTTACCTTTTCCACATTTTGTTACATTACAGCCTTATTCTAAAATGGATTAAATTGTTTTTTCCCCTCATCAATCTGCACACAATACCCCATTATGACAAAGCAAAAACAGGCTTTTAGAAATGTTTGCTAATGTATATATAAAAAATAAAAAACTTTAGTGCTGCAGAGAGACCTTCCTGTTGGAAGGTTCTCCCATCTCCAAAGAGGAACTATGGAGCTCTGTCAGATTGACCATTGGGTTCTTAGTCACCTCCCTGACCAAGGCCCTTCTCCCCCGATTGCTCAGTTTGGCCAGGCAGCCAGCTCTAGGAAGACTCTTGGTGGTTCCAAACTTCTTCCATTTAAGAAGGATGGAGGCCACTGTGTTCTTGGGGACCTTCAATGCTGCAGAAATTTTTTGGTACCCTTCCCCAGATCTGTGCCTTGACACAATCCTGTCTCGGAGCTCTACGGACAATTCCTTCGACCTCATGGCTTGGTTTTTGCTCTGACATGCACTGTCAACTATGAGACCTTATATAGACAGGTGTGTGCCTTTCCAAATCATGTCCAATAAATTGTAGAAACATCTCAAGGAAGATCAATGGAAACAGGATGCACCTGAGCTCAATTTCGAGTCTCATAGCAAAGGGTCTGAATACTAAGGTATTTCCGTTTTTTATTTTTAATACATTTGCAAAAAATTCTTAACCTGTTTTCGCTTTGTCATTATGGGGTATTGCGTGTAAATTGATGAGGTCAAAAATGAATTTAATCCATTTTAGAATAAGGCTGTAACGTAACAAAATTTGGAAAAAGTCAAATGGTCTGAATACTATCCAAATGCACTGTAGGCATTCAGGCATGAAAACATGAAATCATTATACATAATACCACGGTGGGTATGAATACAGTAGCTTACTTTCAATATAAGCATATAGGCCTGGGTTACCAAGGCAGGCATGAAAACATTAGGCTAAATCATAGCCTAAATAAACAGTATTCAGGGTTACTTTTCTTGTTTCATGTTTTACCGCACAAGGCGTAGAAGCCTACAGGCTTGGTGTTGAAGAGATTATTCCATCATTGTCCAAAGAGTCACTGAGTTCTCTTTCAAAGGACAACAGGGCTAGATTGTTGAGACGTGCAGTCAGCATGCAATATCTGATAGATATTTTGATATGGCCTGTAGTGGAGAAGAGTCTCTCAACACTATATGAAGTCATAGGAAGGCTGATGATGAGCCTTAGTAGTCTATTGATGTTAGGGAAGATGTCAGGGCTGCATGCAGCGGTCCAACACTTCAATATGGGATGGGAACTTCCTGACCTCCCCCCACTTTTCGACACAGTTGCTGAATAAACACGGTTAACCTATGAACGTGATCACATTGGGCCAGCAGTGATTATTTCAATGCAAAAGTCCTAGACCCTAGCAGACAGGCCGCTGCTGCTCTCATTATTCCATATTTATCCTCCTGGAACCGGGTGTGCAGCTCAGTCAGATGAGAATTTGTTTTTTGATCATATTTGGATATGAATTTACACATTTCCCAAAGATTGTCCTTATTAAGGGCCTCTTTACTCTCCCTATGTCATAGGCAGCACATTAGTTTGAAGTTAGGGGAAGCAAAAAAATTATAATACAAATTACATGCATCTATCATAGCATTTGCAGACTAATGTAAGATAGCAGCATACTATTCCTAATGTGATATAAACACATTTCATACAATTCTACGTCACTTTACTTTCCATGACTGGAGACAATAGCAGACTCTTTAATACGACAAAGATGACAGGGTAGTCTACTCTGCTGACACTGACAAACTGATTATCAATAAAAACGACCTTGTCTTGATTGCAACCAATCTAATCGAGGCCTATGAAAAGGGGAGACACATATTGTGGGCTATGACGTCCATCTAGCCTGGAAGATGAAATTAGTGTCCTAAAAAAAAACTTTACAAGAGCATGTATGCGCACTCAACGGTGATATGGCCGATGCTCTCCGCTATAGTGCCAATAATATAGGTTACTGTTGGGAGTTGAGAATTTTGAACCAAAGACAGGTTAGAGTTTTTTCTTTGTCTCTCTTTTGTGTTTTTCCAGCGATTGTATTTTGAAATATCATGATAGGCCTACTTTAGATGCTTTTCACTGACAGCCGCAAATCACCTATTTGAAATACTGTGCGTGCTGCCCTAATTGTGCGCTTCCAGACTATAGTCTATAACCTGGCCTTGTGATTTAAAACAATTCACAGCAATTTATTTAAAGAATCTAATGATCCTCTGTGACAATATCATGCTCTCTGGTTTAGTGTTTTGAAGGATTTTATTAATTTTTGTACAGATAGGAGTAATAATATAATTTTGGCAAGTTCAATTACATTCACTAGAGTAAGCTTCCCTAGCCTATTTTACAAACCGCCTATGCCCTATGTCCACGTAGTGCTATGTCCTGTTTAGCGCACAGCATAATAATGTCCAGAACCACTTTGACCAGTGGCGGCTGGTGAAAAATATTCTCGGTGGGGCTGTGCCATACTTTTTTTTTCCTGTAACCATCGCGATATATTTTAACACAAACTGCAGGACAGCAGTGCTCAGTGAAACATTCAGTAATTATTTAATGCCAATATTAAAAAGTTGAGGCATTCTTACACAAAAACATATTACACAAACCCAAGCCTTTCATTTGCATTTAAAGTGAACTTTTCACCATTGGTAGTAAACAGGCAACGCAACAGGCATGCTGTCAGAACAGAGTGGAAAGTGGACAATAACATGAAATTATTATAAAGTTTATAGGAAATCTTACACTGTATAAAAGGATGTATAATATAGAAATGGATATCAAGTGGATGAACTCAAACCTTTGACTGGAAGAATAGCATACAGTATTTTATGATCATACTAAATGTGACTAATTGTTAATGTGCTCCAGAACTGCAACAATTAATTGATACAAAACAACATATATACAGTAATATTAGCAAAGACACTATTAAGACTTTCTAGAGTACCATATATAACTGGATTTTTTATGCTAAGGTCAACTATATACAAAGAAACATGCGGCCAGAGCTGCTCTGTGTGTGTGTGTCTGTCATCTTATTTGTACAGGAATTTTGCCCGTCTGTCCTTCTGAGTGGCAAACCTCTCAATGACCCTTTGATTAAAGTCAGGAATGTCCCTGACAAGTTTCTTCTCCATGGAGAGCATGGCCAGAGCGTTCAGGCGATCCTGTGTCATGCTGTTTCTCAGGAAGGTCTTGATCCTTTTCAGTGTAGAGAAGCACCTTTCTGACTCAGCAGTTGTCATGGGTGTGGTGATGAGGATCTTGAGGAGGCTGGCAGTCTCTGTGAAAGTGCTCTGAAGGTTGTTCTCCATGAAGAACTGGTACAGGGGCACTGCACCACTACAAGCCTTGAACTCACTGTTCTCATAGATGAGGGACAGTTCGGTTTTGAGCTTGGCCTTGTTCAACATGGGGTACGCCTCCACGGTTGTTTCAAGCGCTGTATCGGGGAACTTCACACTGTGTTGTGGGAACAACTCTCCGTGCAATAGTGTTGCGCTGATGAGGTGCTGGGTGAAGGAGAACCTCTCTTTGGCATGACTCAGGATGGTATCACATACCTGTAAAAGATACATCATCAGCTTTAATTTGCAATTAAGC